AAGGGGCTGTGTCAGCAGGAGCATAACTGGAGCCATGGGATCTGCCTCGCTCCCCCTCCCCCTCCTGTCTCTCCCCTCTCTGGTGGCCTACTCTCTGGCTGTCACTCATGTCCTCGCAGCATTAGGCCGTTGCCATGGTGTTGTTTAGCTCTGCTGACAGGTAGGCTCTGACGCCATATCTCCTCCCCCTCCTCCCACCTCCAGGCCACACGTCAAACGCTGCTTTCTTCACTCTGCACCAAAAATAATAAGCACAGGAGGGGCCTGTCATTATCTCTCTGCTTGTTAAGATGCTCCCAACACAAACACACTGATATCAATGCTTATGTAACTATCCACCTTTTGATTTTGGGTCAATAATATTGGTCATGGTTTTTTTGCTAGTACAGTTATTACCCCGAGCAGACGCATGGTGATGTTTGCATGTTGAGATCATGTATTGTGTTTGAGCTCCGTGTGTCACATGTATGGGAAAATCCCACTGAAATGTTGCTGACGACTCAGAAGAGGTGTTGCTAGGTAACCTGACGTCACAGGTCTAAACTGGTGTGTATGGGGGAAGTGGGGGGCACTGGAGGCTAGCTCATTAGCAACATCGAGTATAAGGCCTTTCACTGCCAGTTCACATCTTCACAAACACTTAATTCAGATACTTAAAGAGAGCTATGAATAATCTGTGAGGCTCTGTAATGCAGAATGTTGGATTTATGCAACGTCTGGATATAAAAATATCCCGGTTTCACATTGTGCATGCACATGGATACACATTACTATTTCCATTCACATGTGTAAAATAAGAAGGAAAACATTGTTTATCCTGAGGGAAATTTCTGTGCAGCAGTTGCAATACAAAGGGAGAAGAGTGCAAATGTATAAATTATAGCAAAATGGGGATAATAATAATAATAATAATAATAATGTGCAAATCCTATCCTCCTGAGACCCACCCATTCATTTGTGTCCTCTGTGGTGCACATTGGTTTTTGGTCCATTACTTTGAGGTTATACATGCCACAGCATTAAATCCAATTTTACTCCACAGAGGACATCCTGGGCTTTTCAAACATATGACATATGTGGGGGTGTGGCTTTGAAAAAGATAATTTCATTGTATTTCAAAATGGCGTCCAACAACACAAGCACTGTTTATAGAAAGATAAATGGTAAGTTTGTAATTTTGTAAGTACCAGTGTTGTGAGTTCAATATTTTTAATTAATTATAGTAAGGGGACATCTTAGGAGTTAGTGTAGTGAGTTTTCAGAGCAGTGTAATAATGATTTGATCTAAAACTAAATGTTTTTATGAATGTCCTCTGAGGAGGGCATGGGGGTTTGCTTACTTTTTATTTCCCCCATTTTACACAACACAAATGGAGTCCACTATGGGCCACAACTAACACGTAGGTTTCTGTAGGGTTCATGGCAGACGGATGCAGTGGGAAAACATACATCAAGTGCCTCATGTATCTCTGCATTTCAGAAAAGGATGGAGTACTACAAATGAGGGCTCAATATTTGTTGCATTGAGTTGTTGTGCTCTAATGTTGTCTAAATGTACTTGTATGTTAATGTTGTTTGTATACTATGCTTCGCATAACTAACACCCGATGTCCTCTACGAAGGACACACAATAAAACAAAAAAATATATTTTTAGTTAGTGTCAGTCATTATGTTAATACCACCCTAAAAACTTGTGTGATAAAAAAAAAAGGACATTTTAAACCTTTTTCTTTCTGGATCTCAGGAGGACATATTTATTCTGAAGAATGCCAAAATCAGGTTAGGATATGTAACATTTCCACATTAAATGTATTATACTAATAGATTCATGCAATACATTTTGTTGAGTTGAGTAACTAGCTTTAAGCAGTAATTGATTGAAGTTTTTATCCACATTTTTACGATTTTGAAGGTGAAACTGCTATAAACCGCCTCCATTGGACTCCTTTGTGTACTTCCGCGACATGTTGACATCACTATGTTACACTTGCGCTAGTAGCGCTCCAACCCATTGGACGCGACAGGCTAAGGGGTGGGATATCTCCCCTTAGCCTGTCACATACGAGCAGACTGGGCTCTGGTTTCAGACAGAGGGTGAAAAGAGGTGCTGCAGCAAAAAATCAAGAGCTTTTTGAACATTAAAGCATAAAACCATGTCAGAGTAGAGGCACAAAATACAAATATGAACCTGAACATGAGCAGAATAGGCCTTTTTAATAAAAAAACAAGCCGAGTTACCATTAGCTGTGAGCTTAAAACCCCTCCATCCTATAAACACAGACCTTAAAGAGTGAAAGAGCTTACTAGACTTTTGAATGAGCAGGTGTTTATGCTTTTTGGTGGATGAAGATAGGCACAGTTATTTTGCATTTGTTTTCTTCAGTATCAATCAGCTTTCATGACACGGTCTATGCTTGTAATTTTTTTTCAAAACATCCATTTTTATTAGTTTACATTCAATAATGCATGCCATTTTATTATTTTATAATGCCCTTGAGTGCAACCTAATAAAAGCTGAGTAATTGCAGAGCTGAAAAGCTGCAGTCAGCGTCAATACGGAGGGCATTTACTTCCTCTCCATCCTCTTTCATCTCAGTGGAGATGCTTTTGTTAGCTGCCACCAAGCAGCCTTTTCACATCCCAAGGCCGCACTTTTGAGAGTATCAGGGCTGCATGAGCTCCTGTGTGCTTCTGGAATGGAAGTTAAATGAGCAGAGAAAGCCGCACGCTCCTCATTGTAGCTCGGCACTCGAGAGCTAGCTGGTGTCGCACACAGCTCTTCTGAAGGTGCTGCCTGCTGTAATAGACTCTCATAGATAGACTGCGAGATAAGGAGACACACTATACGGCACAACGCGGCCGATGCAAGCCAATACCACGGTGTACATTGTGATACTTACTCACAGGACCACTGCACTTGACATTGGCTTTCAAAGCACGGTGGGTAAAGTCTCACAGCTTTTATATGCGGGTGAATATGAGATGCGCTGCGACGACGGTCTTCACCTGGGCTGATTAGCAGATGTAAGGGGAAGATTGTAAGGGGAGGTTACTGTGTGCATAGGCTACTACCTTGAGCAACAGGCAAGCCTTTGTTCTTCTTCTTCTCATCTTCATCAGTAGCGCCACCTGAATGTGTAGACATTGGGAAGCTGTTTGGAGAGGATAAGGAGGTATAAGTCGAAAAAAGCCAATGTTTTATTTTCACAAAGGAATATATTTATTATGCTTTGTAGCTTTTATACCACACACTTTTTATGGCTAATTGGGAAAAGCTTGTGAGGATAATTCTTAATATACAATATATGACCAATATATTGTATATGTTTTTCTTATCGACTTATCGTCCTTTTCTTTGGTTTGGGAACATTTTGGGTTTAAGCCGAGTAAGAGACAAGAATTGTTTTTGCTACATATATTTTATTTTAGCTGTGCAATATATATATATATATATATATATATATATACTTCCAGTATTTAATACTTTCACCTGGCAGCTATGTCGCTAAACTGTTACTGTTTTTGGATGTATATTTTGTAAATACTGTAATTTCTAGTGTTATTTTTAATATTTGTATGCATGCTCATGATTGATATTAAGCTATCTTTGGCTCTTTATTTGCTGTAACAAATGTACATTTCCACTCTGGGATGAATAAAGGTATTCTGATTCTGATTTAGAGCTAATATTTGTGTTTTTTTAACATTTAAGAAATTAATGTTCCAAATCTTAGGAGTATAAAGAATTTGTCAGGTTTTTTTTGGGCATCAGAGATAAAGATTATTTTTTAGTTATTGTTATGGTTTTATTTTATTTATGTTTTTTTATATCAGATATTTTTGATTTAATGCCAATGTCTTAAACTTCTTGAGAATGTAAATGGATAAATAAGCACTGTTATCAATAGTAACACTGTATGATTGACTGTGTACTTAAAACTAAATAACATTATTACAAATAATAGAAGACAGATTGTATAGAAATCCATGAGAAAAATGACTTTGCACTTAATTTAAAACTTCAGTAAACATTTTCCCAGCAGTACCAGACAAAAGGTGCAATTCCACACAATGTTTTCTAGGAGTTTGTGGTGAAAAGGAGAGTACAGTGCCTCTGAAACGAACTGGAAAAGTGTCTGGTCATATGGCACTTTCTTCATTATGTCACCGAGCTGCTTCGTGTTCCAAACACTCTTTGTTTGCTGTGCCAGCACCGCAGATGCTCTCATTAGATGACCAGCTCATTGTTCCTCTCTGTGATAATAGTCTTTATATCTAATTAACTGTCTTCTGCACTGGGGGAACTGGGAAATTGGGTTAAACAAACATGGGATCATTACCGCAGGTACATTGAGTTCAAAACGGAAGTATGGAGTAATTCATGTGACCTTTTATTCTATTGAACGTCGATGGTACATAAATACTGTTAGCCTGTATAAGCTTCGGTGAACTGTAAAATAGTTGACTAATTGATTAGAAGGTCTGCAGAAAAACAAGGGACAACTATTTTGATAATCCATTCATTGTTAATATAATCCTTAATGCAAAAATGCAGTTTTTAAATGTGGAGATTTCCTCTTTTTTTCTTGTTTGTATCTTATTAAAAATAATACGTTTTGGTTTGGAATTTGAAAAACTGGACATCTTTCACTATTTCTGACATTTTATATACTTAGATTAACAGGTAATAAAAATCCTTGTTGCACCTATATTGATAAATGTAAATTAGATTTTGCCCTTTTTTGATGTTATGTCACTTTTATAAAATCCACAATAGCCAGTAGTTACTTTGTCATTGCTCCAAAGAGTTATGTTTGGTATTTCAGTAAAATAACTACACACATACTGCTTATTTCTTTGTAATCTCACTAAAAGAGTCCACTTCCTACATCACGGTGGGACATTGGAGGCCTGCTCCTTAGCTGGAGCTCATAGCACACTGTGAGTCTCCCCTTCTAACCTGCCCCCCCCTCATCTGTTCTCTATTGCTCCCCTGCAGGTGAAGCTGATGAAATACATCTGTAAACAGCTGCAGTGCAAGCAAAAAGTGCCGGAGACGGAGAGGCCCGAGGCTCTGGAACGCTACCCGCACTTAAGAGACTGGCTTCGCACCATCAACCTGCGGCCAGAGCTCAGCCAGGTGGGTCATGCCGTTTTCTGTTAATATCAGTCTCCCCTCACCCTCTCTGTCTGAGGGACTGTGCTCCTGTCACATTAATGTGGATTCTGTTTGTGTACTCAGTCCCTCGCTCACATGTACATGAGGAATACTTGACCCATGACCATCAGAATCTCTTTCTAAAAGAGGAGCACTGCCATTTTATTTATGCTCATCATATTCAAGGAATTGATCATTTAAAGGTCACATGTCATGGCCATTTCCACTGATCATAATTCCATTGTTGAGGTCTACTAGAATAGATTTATACTGTGCAATTTTCCAAACTCACATTGTTTCGCATACAGCATTTCTGTAAACTACGTGTATTCACTCTCTCCACTAAACGGTTCGTTGCAGCTCGTTGCAGCTCTTGCCCCCCCCCCTCCCTGTGAGCCCAGTGTGCTCCGATTGGTCGGGACCAGTCGGGACGTTGTGAATCGCGCTAAGCTCCGTGGAGGTGTGATTTCCTTGTTTAGCGATACACAGCGAAACACAGCCAAACTCATCCTGAGCCCACACAAAGTCACAGCCGAAGTAAAAACAATAAGTGTGGCTTGATATTGAGTAAGAAAAAGGTTGATAAACGCTGTGAGAATGGGTCTGCAGAGAGAATTGCGCCGCGATCCCAACTGTCTGTTATCAGCCTGAAGCCAGGGAGAAGAGATCAGCAGAGCTGCCTGCACTGAGTGTGTGAGGAAGTCCGTGGATTGGTCAATTTGGACCAATCAGCGGGGGCTTAACGTAACGGCTCCGCGGACGTAACGTAACGGCTCCACGGATTGGTCCATTTCGTTCCGGGTACGACATGACATCAGATGTCCCCGGAAGAATCAAATGGTTGATGACGTTTCACCAACGACGCGTTTTGGGGAGGTATTTTCTGTATTAGAGTTTTACTCGCTACAGGGTGTACTTTGAGGGTTTTGACTCTGCACAACGTTTACATGCATAAAAACCTTCATAACACACAAGGGGACGGGTAATAACCGGAAAAGCATGACATGTGACCTTTAAAAAGAAAATCCTTATTTCACATTTCTTTCATGCAATTTATTAACTACTGCCCTTTATGTTTTGGGGATCTGTTGGGGGAATGGACAGCTCCTTTTTTTATGGGTCAGGAATTTCAACTTAATTCTGTTTGTTAAAGTCTGACATATCTTTAGGAACGGGCTTTAATAGACAAGTAACACCTTCATGATATCATGCCGATCTAGATCCCTCCGCTTCGCGTCGGGCTCCTGATCAGCCTGTCGGTGTTCTTTTCCCCATAATGACCAAGTCGCTGCACATTATCCCGCTTATTACATGGCCACATTCTCAACAAAGTAACGATATGACTCCCAATATTAATTGAAATGCTTTTATGGATTTAGAAAATGATTTTATTGATTTAAAAAATAGTTGTATGTATTTATTTAAATTGACATGCATCCGCTAAGAAAAATAGTCCGTTGTTACTGTTTGAACTAACGTAGCAATGGCAGGAACTGCTTCGATAGTGTTTTTGAGGAGCTTTTTGATTACAGAGTTGAAAACATCGTTGCTTGCTTTAAAAGTAGCACAATTCATTATGTCAAACTTGGAAAGTATCTAGATATCCCTGCCCTAATGCCAAAGGAACTGGCAACTGAATATGTGTCGCCGTTTGATGTCTATGTCTGGACCGCTGCGTAAAAAGGAGGGTTTCTGCCCGTTACTTCTCTGCTGTTTTCTTGTCGCTCTTGTCTTGTCGCTCTTGTCTTGTCGCTCTTGTCTTGTCGCTCTTGTCTTGTCAGTTAGAAAAGCAAACTGCATGCAGTTTGCTTTTCAGCCAAACGCTATATTCCATGGTGGCTTGATTGTATAAGTCAGCTTGTGAATAAATCACTATTCTTGCACCTTCCTTGCACCGCCTCTGACTCCATATCTCTCGGCACTACACTGGTGACCCTGATACGTCTTGAGAAGTTCCGGGACGGAGCCGAACACGGCAAAAGGAACTCGAGTTCCTTTCTCGAAATGCCGGGGTTTGATTGGAGACGTCCGTGGCTGCCACCGGCACGCGGACTGAGGCTCGGTGCGCGCTCCGAAGAAGGCTGGAGACGTTGCTCGCCGTTCCCGCATCGGCTTTCTATCCAACGGGGGGACGATGCACGACCTGCTGGGTCGACCAGCAACCCCATTGCTACTCGTTGGGTTTGTTCTTCGGGCGTGCGGCTGCTTCTGGTGCCGAAGAGGAGGTTCGACCAGCCAGGTTGACCTCATGTGGACACTCACATTTTTCACCACCTCCCCGGCGGTTCCAGACGCCACTCACGTTTTAATATCGACGCCTGGGTGGGCACTCCTGGACCCCGTCTCGCCCTCGACGGTTTTGGACGTCGCCCATGCTGCCATCGGCCCGTGGGTGGCGCGCTCCGGAGCCCTGTCTGCCTGCTCCTGCCTCCGGGGATATCCAGACGCCACTCACGTTCATCTGCGCCTGGGTGGTGCACTCCTGGAACCCCCCTCTCGCCTCGACAGTTCCGGACGTCGCCCATGCTCCATCGGCCCGTGGGTGGCGCGCTCCGGGACCCTGTCTGGCCTCTCCTGCTTCACGGGGATGCCTCAGCGCCTGCTTGAGGACTTCATGCCCCGCCGCCGCGGCACGCTGCCTGCGCCGGGTTGCTCTCCTGCTTCCCGGGGATACCTCGATACCTGCCGAGGACTCGTGCCCGCCGCCGTTGCACGTCTGCCTGCGGCCGGGTTGCGCTCCTTCCTCCCGGGGGGAACTGCTCCTCTCTTCCGGGGATACCTAGACGCCTGCCGAGGACTTCTTGCCACCGCCGTTGTGCGTCTGGCCTGCGGCCGGGTTGCGCTCTTTCCTGGGGCTGATGTTGAAGTTTAAATTGATGGTATAAACCAGGATTAGAGTAAAATAGACGATAAAGCAGGTCATGCAAAAATCAAGATGGCGACCCCCGCAATGATGTCATGTGTAGATGGCAGTGGCGAACCGTGTCTATCACAACTGGACCTTCCCCCCCCGGCGTTATAATGTCCGTCTTTTCACTGAATTGTCGTCTTGAAAAGGGTACTCGCAACAATTCCGCAACAACTTCATCTTCACCTGTTGCACTTGTCATTTCAATGTTATAAACAATAAAACGGCATGAATTGCTTCGTCGCATTCATCTAGATCAGGGGTGCCCAACCAGTCGATCGCGGGGAGATTCCCAGTCGATCGCGAGATGTGTCTAAAAATAGAACAACAATATTCAGTTTTATCGTTAATGTCCTATAACATAATCTTCCTGTGCCAGAATAATGCACTTGAACGCATCAAAGCTTTGTGATTGGCCGGCGTGACCCCATGTGTCGGGGCGTGGCTGGTCGGCAGTGGGCACTATTTCGCTGAGGTTGTCCGTGTCAACAACAGGAGTGACAGTCCGCACACACACAAGACCGCAATTATGGCAGAAGCAAAAAAGCCTCAAATATATCATTTTCACTCCGAGTGGGAGGATGATTATTTTTGTATCTATTCCAATTCAAAGTCCATCTGTCTCATCTGCAATGCGAGCGTGGCTTTATCGAAGAAGGGTAATTTAGGAGCGGCATTTCAAAACAGTGCACAAACGAGACGGAATTCCCTCGTGATTCTGCCCTACGCTCCCAAAAGGGGAGGGGCCTGAAAGGACAGCTAAATGCACAGCAGTCCATTTCCACCAGGCCCAACAACAAGAGCAAGGCTGCTACCATAGCATCTTATCGTGTCAGTCACGTTCTTGCGAAACACATGAAGTCTTTCAAAGACGGCGAAGTTGTGAAAGAAGCATTCCTGGAGGCTGCCGACGCGCTTTTGGGGGACAGTAAAAATAACAGTAGAATTTCAACAGGTTTTTGATATAAATATAATACAAACTCAAGTTAGATACCGTTATTAATCAGCTGTAAGTTTTAGTTTGTTTGAACTTATTCATTATAATTATTGTACAAAATGGTATAAGAATGCAAACATTAAGATCTGTTCTGTTTAAATTGATTATAGTCTATTATCAATTCAGGTTAAGAAACTAGTGTTGCTTGCATCCTATTTTAAAGGCATTTCTTTTGATACTCTACTAAAACGCAACAAAAAAAAAGGGTTTGATTCTATTAATTTTGTCTTTTACATATAATTGTAACGCAATACATGATTGTCACTAAAAGTCTTGTCTCTACATTACAATCAAATATAAAAAATAATTGATTAATTAATTTGAATACAAATTCAAGTTAGTAGCTATTATAGGCATAAAAAGACAGAAATGTATAATTCTTTCTTTAATATAAATGTTTCTTCCGCGCGTTAAGTGTCCAAACCGGGTTTGTCTGGATAAGCGCATTTTTAAAACATAGTCATTGTCCATGCCGGTTTCAGTTGGATTATTTGTCACAGTTGCTCCGATCAGATCGGTCTCCTCCATTTTGTAAATTATTTACGACTTTTGAATCCACATAAACACATCGGCAAAATCCAGTTTACTTTGACCATGTGTTTTAAACAGTTTAATCCCTTTTTGAATTGTTTCCACTTGCGCCGTCCTTTCATTTCTTTATACAGCGGGAATCCAAATGAATTAATCCTGAGTCCAATAACCATCAAAGTCACTCCAATAGTGCTCCTTGATTACGCTTTCATCCTCCTTTAACACAATACTTCACATTCATCCAGTTTGTGACAGTAGTTGTAGCATTTTGAGACTTTGAAACTCTAATTACTGCTGTTGCGCCCCCCCCCCCCCCCCCCCCCCCCCCATTCGATCAAGGATGTAGAATACCTTAGTTTGAAGGATATTCTACCCAGAGACCCAGAAACAAGATCTGATTGGTTGCTTTCTTTTCTAACACAAAACCACTGAAATGCGTAGTGCATGGTCCGAGAAGGACAAACAAATCAACGCAACACTGTAATATTACAGATCAACAACAGAGATACGATTCTCATTTATTCATTTTATATACATTTTATTACATTGTATTTATATAATTAAATCGATTTTTTGTTTGTTTTATCTGAGTGTTCCAGGGTATTCTCTGAATACCTTGAAGGCCCTGACGGTTTGCCACTGGTAGATGGTAACCCTCAGTTTGCAATACAAGAAAATACTCTCACAATAGTCTCCTCCAGACAAGTCATTGTTCACAAATCTATGGGTGTTGTTGAGATTCCACATCCACTACTTTTATTCTATCTATGGTACACATGCATAACAGTTCTGACCAATAATACTGTGTCATGACAGCGCAGCACAGCAATCATGTATGCTGGAAAAGCCATGCTGTTCGTGGTGCTATTATTGTAATGTTATTATGAGTGAGTAGGTGGGAGGGGAGGCAGGGCCCACAGCCTCTTTGGAATATCACATCACTCACCCTCGTGTGTTTGTGTGTCTATATGCGTGTGTGCTTTCTCTTGCTTACAGTGTACACATGAGTGTGGGAGGCTGCCCTAGTTTTGGGATCATTGGTTGCCCTCTCCGATCAAAGGGTTTAACCTGACTGATAAGCAATTGCGTACTTCCCATGTCAGAAAAACATCCTCAGCGCACTGGACTATCTCATATTTCCTTGTTTCATACACAAACAGTTTGTGGTGTTGCTAGCGGCCTTTGACCTACACTTCCTTAATTGACTTTTATCTGCTTTTTGCAATACACTTCTTTAGACTTTGTTTGTTTTTACCAAATACATTGTAACTTGATGAATTATTGTTGTCATTGCACATCTAACAGATACATCCAAATACATGACCACTGTGTTATTTGTGTTTGTAGCCAATAGTAGTAGTTAATGTTTGATTTTAAGGAGTGTTTTACCATCTCTTCATTTTTTGATAAAATAGCTGATTCACATTTAAACGTTGAGTATAAATTACGAGTGGTTGTTGGTGCTTAGTCTTCTAAGTTTATTCTAAGCAAACAAGTATTAGTGTCTTGCCTGAGTGTTATACTTTTAATTTGTAGCCTACCAGTGCTACTCCCACTTGATCTTGGCTTTCTAATGTTATCCTCTACTTTCAGAATGTTGTGATGTCTGTTGTCTTCCTGTTGGCTGCTGTCAAGCCTCCTTCTGTTCAGTGATCACTCATATCTTAGACAGCACCATTGTTTAGATGTGTACCAAATCATGAGTGATGTGAATAAAAAGGAAAGAATACAAAGTAATACATTGACACTCTAGCTGGGTATAATATAGATATTATATACTAGAAATCTGCTTAGATTTTTGATATTGTAACATGTCTTTTATGGTTTTGAAGGCAGCATTACAGAAAAGTGATCTGATTTAAGAACTTCTCCAAATGTTTATCCACAGTCATGATGACTATTTATAAAAATTCTCATTTTGTCAATATTTTGTGGAGGCACCAATGGTCAACCCTACAATATTATCCTAATATTGAAGTATTTGGATTACAAAAAAAACGATGAAATGTGATTTTCTTTATATTGCCCAGCCCATATAGACATTTAATTGAATCCTAGTTCAAGCTTGGTATTGTTTTCACTTGTATAACACAGGTTTAAAACCATACAAAAATGACATCAGTTTTATGGCCGATGGACAGAAACATAATGCCAACAATCTTGAGAATCAATTATTTGCAAAAAGTAATTTTCTATGAAAAAATGGCTGGAAATTATATTTCATAATTATGGAAACTTCCTGCTTTTATCTTTATCTTGGGTTTCTTTGGGTTTACAAAACAGTTATCATACAGACATCCCATTGGAGACTCTGAGGGGCATTTTAACTATTTTCTGACTTTTTTTATAGAACAAACAATTAATAGATTAAATATTCCATTAACCCAGTGTGTATGGTCATTAAAGAAAACCCTACAGGAGAAAGCTAAAATACACCTTGTCTATTAAGATTTAGCAAAGGACCACCATTAGCCTGATGATTATTTAAACCTTGTTTCTGATTACCCATTATTGTTGTTGTTGTTTTTTTTTTCCTATTTTGGAGCTATCCAATTATGAATTATATATATATTTTCTCTTTTTGCTTGTTCTTATACTGACCTCTCACCCCTTCTTTTTGATTGTCTGCAGGCAGTGGAAGCAAAGTCTTCCCTGGATACCTTGCTGCAGATGTCAGGTGCTCAGGTGAGGGAAACCATGCGAAGGCTGGGGTCCAGCTCAGAGGAATGTGCCCGGCTCAGTGCTGCCCTCTCCTGTCTGAAGAGTGCCTCGGAATCAGGTATGGGTATTCTCCACAGGAGCCTTTTATATTCAGCATGGATCACGTTGTTTTCTTGTTTTTCATACGGAATCTTCCTTCTGTGCAGGAGGTGAGCTGAGGGAAGATGACGTACCCTGGATGTCGGAGCCCTTCAGGAGGGACAGTGGCCCTCTCCTGACCGCGGAGCAGCTGACCGGGCTGGGGACCCCGCTCCGCCCTCACAGTCCTTCGCCTCTCGCCCGCCCATCAGCCGTCCACTCCACCCCATCCACCCCCTGCGCCGTGTTCCCTCACCACCGCTCGGGCTCTGTGTCGGCGGTGCCCACGCCTGATGGGCTGGCCTCCTACGGCCATACTGAGAGCCCTCTGACAGACCCGTTCCCCATGGCCTTATCCCACACCGCCCGTCTCCACGGGCGCACATCCACCCCGCCCATAACTCCGCCCTCCAAGAGGCGACACCGACTGAAGCCCCCCTGCACGCCTCCGCCTCCGTCCCGCAAAGTTCAGCACCTGCTCCCCAACATCACCCTGACGCGCAGCAAGAGCCACGAGTCCCAGCTGGGCAACCGCATCGAGGACCCCCCCACCAACAAGTAGGTGCTCATAAAGATGTTTGAACTAGACATTAAAGAGTTTTTTTAAACGTTATTTATTTTACAACAATATTGTTGCATTCTTAAAGGGGCCCTATAATGCTCATTTTCAGGTTGATATTAGTATTTTCTGCCTCCACTGTGACGCTTTATTCAAAAAGCTCTTTATTTTTCTCATACCGCACAGTCAGTATGAGAGAAATAAAGAGCTTTTTGAACCTCTTTTCACCCTCTGTCTGAAACCAGAGCCCAGTCTGCTCTGATTGGTAAGCTGGCCGGCCCCTTGTGATTGGTCAATCGCTCAGAGATGTCCTGCCCCTTAGCCTATCACGTACAATGTATTGGAGCACTAACCAATAGAAGCTTGAGTGATGTCACTATGTCGCGGAAGGAAACACAGGACTACAATAGAGGCGTTTGAGGCAGTGGGGGGTAGGGATGGGTACCGAGCCCCGGTATCAAACGGGCCCCGGGGCTGAATTATTAAAGACCGTGGTACCGTTAAGCTCCAACGTTATCAGTCTTTTTTATCGGTACGGGAGACATTTAAAAAATATGGCATATGTATTATGCTACACAAACATTATATTGCAGTTTTATTGTCGCCAACTCCGTTTCTAATATGCAAAAAGACTGCAAAATGTGTCTATGGTTATTTTTAGTATTTTCGATCTTTCCAATCCAGCCGAGAGATCTCTCTCCCCCGTCTGTGAGCGAGGGGGCGGGGCAGTTTACACACATGCAGCTGCTACATGCAGCGGAGCACACACACACGGCGGAGATGGCGGAGAGAACGCGCTCCGAGGTGAGGTTAAACTTTACCCGTCTCGATGTGGACAATGCTCGTTGCCAAAAGTGCAATAAGAGTTTAGCATGTCAGGGCGATAACACGAGCAATTTGTCTAAACATTTAGCAAAAGTGCTCCACATTCAGACGGAGGAATGCACCGGGTTCCACCGTCTTTCTAGCAGCTCTGTAGCCCCAACCACGAGTAACTTTTCCACGTCAGGTGTTATGTATGCTAGCAGCACCACACAGAGTTAACTCAATTATACAAACATGGGTTAATGCAGGGCTGCCAACAATCACGCGTTGAGCGTGAGAGTCACGCAATGAACCCATATCTCACGCACTCACGCCACACTTGCCTTTCCTCACGCTAAGTTTTCGTCCAAAATAAATGTATAAAAATAAAGTGAAGGAACAGCAAACCGAGCAGTCTACGAAATGAGACGGTCTTCTGGCTTAGTTCAGTAAAGTTGGAACGATATTGGGAGAATCTGATTTCACGGATCAATAACTCATGAACAAAACGTTGTTCAGACACAGATGACGTCTCCTAAGTACCGTGGTAAGGTTGACAACGAACTACAATTACATTTTGATCAAAAAAAGCCAATACGCGCCGTCCTTCGAGCTGGACACATTACACATTGGTTTCTATCTGCAGCCGGAGAAGAAACGAGTGCTCAGGGACCGTCTGCAAAGTGCAACTCCCAAAAAAGAGAATACAATCATATTCAATCACTATTATACAGCTTATTACTACCAAACTCACCACACACATCAATAGTCTCCTGTGTGTCATACTACAGCAAGGAGTTTGGAAGAATATGCTTTTGAATAATTTTGGGGAATATTTATAATGTAAATAAGGCATCATCTTAAATAACTTTACTATTATACAGTATATTTCTACCAAACTCACTATTTGCATTGTTGTTGTTAGCATCTGGTTAGCTAGCTGCGCTAACGGATATTAGAAGCTGTTTCTCAAACAAGGAGAGGGAGAGCCCTCTCCTGTCAGACTGAGAGAGAGAACTACAGCTCAGTGAGGTAAGGGACTCTCTGTTTAGATAGTTTAGTCTAGTTATCTCAGTGGGTCTCAAACGTTTTGGTCACCATTTATGAGAATAAATGAAAAACAGTTATGAAATACTATATGACAGTAAAACAAGAATAGAGTTTAAAAGGGGAGTGATTTGTAAAATATCCAAAAAGAAAATCTGTTTACAGTTCTGTGTCATATGGGTGTTGAGAGAGGTATCCTTAAATTCATGTTGCTCTCAAAGTGCACCAGGTTGATGCATTTAATCCGGACCCCCCTAGAGGAGGTGAGGACCCCCCCCACACACTTATAAAATAGCACTTTACCTCTGCTTACAGCTATATGCCATTTTATATGCTGTGAGCTGATTATCGAGCCTTCATTGTAAGAGTCGCGGGTACACTGTGTATGTAAGTATTCCACTGTAGCGCCCGGTACATTAATGGGAAACCCTAGTTTGTACATGTTCAATACATTTGTAACACTGTACACATGAACGTTTCTTTTTTCGGTTCACCAAAAACAAAATCTCACTCCAAGCTGAACTCAAATGTTGGCAGCCCTGGTTAATGATTAGAGGTAACTGCAGTGTTTCCCACAGATCTGAAATATACTTGGGGGGGGGGGTGGTTGAGGTGACGTGCAACGACATTAACATTAACCTTTCTGTTGGTCGCTTGTTAGCAGACCCTTCACGCGATGGCAGAGCGAACAGGTACAGGCAGGGCCCATAGTGATAGCCCTATAGTTTAAATCTACTACCCACAAATAAACATATGGACATGGGTTACCATTTAAAAAAAATGGTAAATGTATTTAGGAACCTATCAATGTGATTTTAAGTGGGAGTGGACCTCAAATCCTCTAGGGGGGTCTGGGGGCATGCTCCCCCAGTAAGATTTGTTTTTTAATTTTGGAGTTAAATGCATCAATCTGGTGCACTTTGAGGGGAAAATAAAGAGACTAGATCTATGGAAACACCTATATTAAACAGCACTGTATACATTTCAATAATCATAAAATCATGGCCATAACCAATAACATCCCATTTCCAATATGAAAAAACACTGAAACTTGTTTATTTATTTATTTTTGGTTCATTTATAGTTGTGAGTGTGTCTGGGCTCCTGAATCAGCCTCTCCTGTCTCCCCCCCTCTCCCCCCTGCTCCTCTTTGAGGCAGCAGCAAAGACTAGTTTTAGCTCTCAACAAGTTTAAAAGTGTATCTTACCTTTTTTCACCTACTTAACTTTTTTATTTTGTATTCATGTATATTTTACTAATCACTACCCCCTCAAATGGAAATATGTGTTTACATAAATGGTGACCACACCGTTTGAGACCCACTGAGAACTTAGACTAAGTTAACTATCTAAACACTCAGGGTGTCCTTTACCTCACCTGAGCTGAGGTTATCCCGAGCTTGAATGACACACAGAGACCAATCAAGGGCTTTGATTTATGATCTGTATGACAGTGGCCATGTCGGCAGGCCACATCATGTAGACATCCAGTCACCCTGTGTGAGGCAGGCCACTTAACAGGCCAGGCCATCGGGAAACCCCCCAGTCCGGGACTGGGTACAGGAGGCGTAGAGCGAGGGATTATTGTCCACAAGTAAATCGATCGCAGATGGTGTCGTGATCGCGGACGAGAGGGGGGAAGAAGTGTGTGGGAGAGAAACTCACTCTGGAGGAACTTTTGGATTTTAGCCTTTGCAGTCCATTTACATGCACAAAAACCTATAGAACACACTATAGAAAAGGGAAAACCCCCAAAAACCTAATAGTTCCCCTTTTTAAAAAAATGCAAAAAAAAATTGCAGTTAGTAAAATAATGTTTTATCATGAACGCAGCAGTCTGAAAGCCTCCGTCTTTTTCACACCTCGGCCTTACACTGTTGTCTGCACAGACGCAGAATCTTCCTGAGAAACACTCCCACTCCCTCCCTCTCTATCTCCCTCTTTTCCATGCTTCCACTTCCTGCCTGTTGCTCCTTTGCTCCGGCTAGATGAGAGGAGCTAATCCCTGCACAGATTCCCAGAGATTAAGACTCATGTCAAAACAGGAAGTCTTTCCCGGGACTAATGCTCAGAGGTGGCAAAACACACAAAATCTATCTCGCTCTTTATATTGTGATTAGATGCACATACACAAACAAGCCACATGTTTATCCATAATATCCTGTCTGTTTATGGAAAGCTTTGGTGGGAAAGAAAAAAGGCAAAGGCTGAAATAAATATGGCTGGCATGGATCCAATGCATCTAACACACAGAGACAATCCCACTACTTTTCCTGGTTTTGTACACTGCTTGGTATTTTACCATCTGAACAGAACTCATTATATAATTAGACAAATTGACTATTTAGATATATTATCACTTTCTATTACCAACATGTCCATAACGCATTCTAAACATACTTATATTGTGTTTATAATCTGTTATATCAGGCTTCCCTCCTCCCATTGGTTTTAATACATCTTAAATCATTAATAACATTTATTAATTAAAAAATAATTTGAAAGTCTTAAAAATGCTTAAACAGGAAAAGTGGGATTCAAAATAACCTTTTAATAAGTCCATATAATGCAATACAATCATACTTTATACAGTATAGTGCAATTTAACTATGTTTTTACACAGCTCTTTAAAATGCAATTCAAGAGGTCTGCTATTCATTTCGCTAGCTAACCGCTGCTAAGAAGAACAGGCTGTGCTAAGGAGGATCAAGGGACTATGTAGAGTCATATAAGTCCGCAGAAAGAAGTCACAACAAACATTAGTTTTCATCCATCAGAAAACACCATGGAATACTTTTTAAATAAAAATATATATATTTGTGGAGAACATGGAACTTTGCATTTATGATACCAATTCATTACAGACATGGGTACAATAGAGATTGTTATAGTTAACTCACAGTCACATGCAAATAAATGCTTGCTTGTGCCTTCCGTCCGGGTGTTAAGCTTGTCACCCTGTCCGTCCCGGGCCAAAGTTATTTAGGAACTCAACATGCCTCCATAGCCCTTACATAACCCTAACCCTAAACAGTCTGTGGACCAATTCCAAACCAACACCTACTCCCTCCCACTCCGTGACGGGTTAAACGCCGTCTGTAATCACCCTCACAGCTGAAGGAGGCTCCTCCTTCTGGAGGTTGTAAACACTGCAGAAAGCTTTGGGACCAACTCCCCTCTCTCCGGCAGAAACAGGAAGCGTTCATTACCATGGTTTGGATTCGGCATCTCTCGGACAATAAATAGTAATTAGACTCCAACAATCTCAAGTGTTTTTTTCTTTTTTTGTAAATGATCTTATACCTGATGTTTATTAGCTACTTGTTTTTGCAACAAACCCTGTAAATATACAAAAATAGGGGGTCAGTTTGGAATTGGGCCTGTGTGTTGAGGCTGCAGACCTGGGGTATTGTAAACGTTAAACCGGACCTGTTTTTGCTTTCCCTCTCTTCAGATGTATAAAGAAGAATAAGTTGTTACTGAATATGCAAGTTAATGGGAATGGATGTGAGGACTCGCCCTCCCGTTACCCTGTCATGTCTTCACGCACCCCGGGAGTCACCCCCTCTGCCACCACAGCCTCTTACACCCTGCCCGGCACCCCCACCCTGATGGAGGAGCACAGCAGCCATAAAAGTGAGTCGGGAGCATGCATCTTTTTTTAAATATGTGTATGATTGCTGCAAGTTAGTCTCGACTTGTTGACTTTTATTTGGATTGGATTATTCTTCTAATTTTTGTAGATCCTCATCTCACGATAGTTGACAGAAATTCACGCCGTCTCATTTTTCCTGTAGTGATCTATTGCAACTTAAACTGAATGAAATATACGTTCATTGTTGTGAAACGTCATTTCGATCTCTCTGTTTGTAAACACAAACTGAGTAAGATTGACATTAAAGTTGACTTTGACTGACTTTTGATTTTATTTCTAATCGGGCAATATATTTTTTGTTTTTCTCAATGGATAAGGTTAGTATTTTATATTTTTCTGCCTGTATCTATTTTAGTTTTCTATATTAATAACCCTTGTTTAAGGCATCAAAAATAATCTGTGTTTATCCATTATGGTTTACAATAATAACAGGGACTAAATAAGCATAGTATGTTTAATTGGTTGGCAAAAATATGCTTTCATGTGGAAGTGTGTGTGTTTGAGCTCGATCTCAATCATTTCTATGTGAAATAAACGCTTCATAAATGTGTTTGAACTGCGTTCCAATGAGCACTTAACAATAGTTTTAATATTTAAGTGCACAGTTTTTTAATGTGATTAACCACCGGGGTTATGACCAGTATTTCTCTTCTCAAGCTTATACTCCCCTTCAATCTTTCTCCCCTTTTCCCCATCTCTTTTCCCCCGGCTAGATAACGTAGCAGGGCATCGCAACTCCCCACAAGCAGTGAGGAGGGACATCGGCCTCTCAGTCACACACAGGTAGATCTTTCTCTGACACTCAATGTCTTCTCCTCAACCTTATATCACCATGAAGCAAACTGGGTTGTTGATCAAATATCAAATAAGTGGCAAGATTTAACAGCGTTTCTTGTGTTTTCTGTAGGTTTTCAACAAAGTCCTGGCTGTCCCAAACATGTCAGGTCTGCCAGAAGAACATGATGTTTGGGGTGAAGTGCAAACACTGTCGGTGAGTTAGGGGCTTTCTATTCAACTCAAATATTAAATGTTTTTTATTGAGACAGAAGCATAAAGAATAAGGGAATGCAGGTCAAATCAGATTGTATTTACGTAGCCCAAATAAAAAATAGTAAAACATATAAAAGTTCTAGGAGGATGTTCAAGGCAAGCCTGAGTTTTGTTTTTTTTAAAGGAAGTCTTAGGCCTGCTATTAAATGTGGAGAGGACGTCTGCCTCCTAAACACAAACCTTTAACGGCGTTGTAAGCTAGGAGGAGAATTTTAAATGATATCCTGGATTTTACTGGGACTCAGTACAGAGCTGCCAATATAGGAGTCATATGATCCAGAACTCAATCATTAGCCATGAGTGCATGGAGCTGGATTGAATGAGTGGTTTTAGGTGCCATGTTTTGACATTCTGTGAACTTTCCTTTCAGGTTAAAGTGCCACAACAAATGCACCAAGGAAGCCCCTTCCTGCAGAATCTCCTTTCTACCAAGTAAGTTTATCCATTAAAAGTTGATGGAGGAAATGTGTTGTGCACGCCAAGTACATTGTGTAATTTCATCTAAATTTGTCCTCTAGTCGCCAAAATTCGGAGGACCGAGTCGGTTCCGTCTGATATAAACAACCCTGTGGACCGGCCGCCAGAGGCACCACAGTTTGGCACTTTACCAAAGGCCATCACAAAAAAGGTAAAATAAATGTTTTGGGAGGTTTAGGAGTTCTCTACTAATCTCAGATAAATAATGCTGTAAATTGTACAAAGAACCCCTTTTACTTGGTGCATTTTCAACATATTAATGTAAAGAACTGACCCCAAAGTAGTTAAATGCCGTACATATGTTTAGCTCTAAATCTGTATTGGAAAATATTTGTTTACATCCAGCTCTAGGATACCTTATGTAAATTCATGAAGCCATAGCGCAGGACTCCAATAAAATCGCACACTAGTTCTATCTCTGGCGCTTGAACATTTGAATATATGTAAATTCACACCACATTTGACAGAATCCACATTCTGTTTCCTGGATGACCTCGCCTTATGACAACTCTACATGTGTAGAGAAAATTATAATTCTAGTTATTTTACCATGGACCTTTCACCATCTACCCTTCATTACATTGTAAAGATTAGTGAAGCCCTCTTTATGATACATGGTTACACGGTCAAGAACTAGTCGCAATGCAACAACATTATACAGACAAAGAGAAAACAAATGTAGTGAAAGCGGGACGGCACAGGGAATAGCTTTGTAAAGAAATTAGCCCTCTTGTGAGTCATCCAATGTTAACGTTTTTGGTCAAAAACCTCAAATATTATTTAGAAAATAAAAGATAATGAGAGATAATTTTCAGAACATTTAAAAACAAAGAAAATGCAATTCTCAAGGTAGGAATTTAAAAAGGTCATTTACAGGGGCTGTAATAATAATACCATACTAGAAACTAAATAAGTACAAAGATCACAACACAATTTATTACAACATCATTTTACATTTTAAGTATAAATAAATAATTTTAAAGACACATTTTTTTGTTCTAGCAATACACATTATTGGTAACTGAGGTAATGAAATTCACTATCAGAATCAGTGATTAAGTAATAATAATAATAATAATTCCTTACATTTATTATAGCGCTTTTTCAATGACTCAAAGCGCTTTACATATACACACATTACACATACACATACATGCAATGGTCAGATACTGTGGACAATACCCACAGGAGCAAGTTCAGTGTAAGTGTGTGTAATCTGTAAGCAAAATATTCCTAAACTCCTATATCAATATATACAAAACTATACAAGAACAGGGTGTTCATTCAAATGATATTGTACAGCTGTTATCCGTCATGCCAACCTAATAATTTTTTTGCGAATATAAATGTGTCTCTTCACCCTGAACGCCATCAAGCAATGCAATCCAGCACCTACTCTTTGAAGTTTGAACAATCTAAACGTAATTTAAAACAAAGATTCAGCAGCTGTAGAAGTCATCCTAACTATCAACTCTGATCGTCTCGTTTGTGCCCCCCGCGTCCCCACCAGGACCATCCTCCGGTGCTGAACCAGCTGGACTCCAGCAGCAACCCGTCCTCCACCACCTCCTCCACCCCCTCCTCCCCAGCGCCCTTCCAGCAGAGCAACCCCCCAAGCGCCACTCCTCCACCCAACCCCTCGCCCAAGAACCACCGGGACAGCCGCTTCAACTTCCCAGGTGAGCCTCACTAACGCTGAGAAGCAGGAACTCAGATAGACAAACAACATTCCAGATGCACATCCTAAAATGCGCATGCTAGGATAGTACTCTTACATTTTTCCTTATAATACAGATGATCACCCAGTATTTAATAGTATGGGCTACTAACATCCTCCTCTTTCCCTTTCTCTCCATGTGTTACAGTTAGGTCAGACATTACAGTAAACATATTTTTTGTAATGCACTTGTCAATTGTGTAGGTCTGGGTAATTTGGCTTCCATGATCTTTCAGACTAGGCGAAAGAAAACATCATTAAAAACAAATGTGTTTATTTCCAAAATGTTGTCTAATGGCGTCTTGACAGTATTCTATAATCACCAAAAGTTAGCATGAAGAAATGCCTCATTTGAAGATACAATTTCAGAAAGCTTTCATAGAAACATTCAATTTCTGAAAATGTTGCTCATATTTAGCTGTCTCTTACAATACATATATTTGTAAAGTGTTTTTCTTAATATTACTTTTTTCTCATACCCTCAGCCACATACTGTATCCTCGATTCAGTAGCACTTACATAAAACATATATATATATATATTAGGGATCGACCGATATGGCTTTTTCAAGGCCGATACCGATACCGATTATTAGTAATCAAGGAGACCGATAACCGATATTTGGAACCGATATACATTTGCAGTAAAATCTGAAAATCTTGGTGTCAGAATGTAGAATAACACAAACTCCAACACAACTCAACACAACTTCGTTGAAATGCATTTAAGCATATATTATGTTTAATTCACTTTTAAACATCTTACAACTGGTTTCCTCTCTGTGCCCTTTTCTTTAGTGCAGTCATCTGCAATGAGTTAGAGAGAGAGACAAGAAGTGGGGCTGCAGGCTGACATGCTTAACTAACGATAATGCTTAATTTATTATAGGCTATCTGTCTATCTAGCATAAAATCCCAATAAGCTGCTAGCAACTGCAAAACACTAGTGCTAGCTAATGTTTTGCAAACTATTAAAAGTGAGGCTATTACAGTAGACCTAACGTTAGTCTAGTAGCCTCACTTCTAATATGTTGCTAAATATTTGCTAGATACATGTTGGCTAGCTAATGAGCTTCACATATCAACATGAAAAACTGCGAGGCTCCACTCGCCCCTTTATCAATAATGGTTAGATTTTTCCTTTGTTTTAATTCAGGAAAACATGACAAAAATGTCTTTTCTTATAGCTGTTGACAATATTTCCTTATACATTTCTTCTGTAAAAACCTTTGACTCTTAATATGTCAGCAAATTGAAACAAGAAGGGTTATTTATTTAAACATTTCAGAAAACACCTTATACAACGGGATAGTTCCCTGATGATATCCGTTAGTTAAAATGTTGTTCTTACTCAGTGTCTCCTTTAAACACTGAAGAATGCTCTTCATTTGACAAAGTCTGTTAATCCAAAGCTTCTCTAACCAAAGGTCTCTCTCCCTGCCATGCTTGTCGGTCTTCCCTCTCTTTGTCTGTGCAAAAGCTGCCTGTTACTTTCAGCACAGGCAGCAGTTTATCTTCCCCGGTGAGTTGATGGTCCTAAAGTGTCACACTGCACTGTGATTCTCCTTCTTCAGATCACATTACCCCGTAGATCTTCTCTCTGTATTCTGCATGTTTTCTATTAAACTTGTAGCACCGTATCCATCTTCATTGCATGTTGACTCTTAACAGCCTTTTGACACCATCTACTGGTGGAATGGGGATATTGCATGAACAGTGATATTCAGTATGTTTTGGAGCATGAATCTTTCTCTGAGGAAAAGGGAGTAAACATGAAAAAAGATAACATTGTTTCCCCTCAATTCCTCCTAAACGTGGTTATTTCTCTTTACAGATGTCTCCAGTCCTGCTCATTTGCACCCTGATGTCCTCCGAGACACTGTGTAAGACAATAATATTATTTTTGTATTTATTCATTTAAAAGAGACAATGGACATTAATATGACCACTTGAGTCCATTATGTAAATGTGCCAGATTAAGCAATGAAGACTGAAACATATATAAAAGCAAATAAGCCTATGGAAAAAAACACATGAGCACAGTTCAAACACATACACAAATTACAGCACATATGCACATTTAAAAGTGCATTCATACAAACCAATAAACACACAACAGAAACACAAGCACAGATGAAAGCTAATAGACACAGACAATGAGAAAAATAATAATATAGCCCCTATTCCAGGTCATTAAAAGTTCACTCTGCAAAAACACAATCATTCGTTACTTTTTGTATGGATTCCCCCTTTAATATCAGTTCTCTGTCACAGCAGTGAGATAGAGCCAGCAGCGGACGACATACGATCTGAGCTGGTAGAAGATGAGGATGAAGAGGTAACGTTCACAACACTGATCATCTTTGTAATCCACATATTCATTTGTATCTATTATTCCAGTGTTTTTTCAGTATTTTATCTGATTCTATTTAGCTTATTCACGCACCATCTTGTCTATAGCACTATTATATAGTGTATCGTATGATGTATTGTTGGAGAAGCCTGAAACTATTTGCCAAAACTGGAGCTAAGGTGCATTTGACATACAATGCCTTTGGACGAGTTGTAAATGTATTTGAGAAAACAACCGCTTTAATTCTGGTTTTATTGTCTGATAGTCTTTTCACCATATCTTGAGAGAGGAACATGTTCAAATCAGCTGTTTAATGCAAAGAGAGATGAAGGGTCCATTTTATTTCTACAAGTTGTGTTGCAGAGCCCTGATATTAATACATCAGTTCATACTTTCCATATTAATAACATACCTAGATTGAAAAAAAATGTGGTTTCATATTTAGAAACGAGTACTGATATTGCAATTGAGATATACTTTTTCGATATTAAAGGGATTGAGCTTCTTTTTTGAGGATCTCAGACTCAGAATGCCTTTATTCGTCCCGCAGCGAGGAAATGTACATCTGTTACAGCAGAAAACAGCCTAAGACAGCTTAATGTAAAATAAGAAGCATGTATAACAAAAAATGTAAGTTAAACAAAAAAGAAAATTACACAATTTGCAAAATATACATCTGTAAAATACTGCAATAATTAATATAGAATAATGTTTTTGTTTGCCTCCTAATTATCGCGCTAGCTGTGATTTCGATATTGCACTCGTCCATATTGCAATTTTGAAAAAAAAGTCGATTCATTACGCAGCCCTAATCACCATTGTCTCACAGGAAGGAGAGGAGGAAATTGAAGTCGAAGATGAAGACCCTGAAGAGGAAGAGGATAACGAGGAAGAAGAGGATGAGAATGAAGGGGAGGACAATGAAGAGGACATCAGGATGAACATGGGATCGGACGGAGAGTGTGACGAGCTGGACGACCTGCCCAGCTCCCGGGGGAACCAATGGAAGAGCCCCATCTGCCGCAAGGCCAGCCAGACCAGCGTCTACCTGCAGGAGTGGGACATCCCCTTCGAACAGCTGGACCTCGGGGAACTCATAGGAAAGGTGAGGAATTGGACCCAGATGTTAAAGGTCACCTATTAGGCAAAATCCTCTTTTTCATTTCTTTTATACATCATGCATGCAAATTAGTCTCTTATCGGCACCTCCCGCTTTTTTAATGCTGATTTGGGTGACTTGTGTAATTCGACGGACAACTTCTCACTTCAAATTTTTTAAAGAAATCTAGACCGCAAAATAATTAAACAAGAGTGCCTGTTTTTCCTGGCCAATGACAGGTTCCTTGAACACAACACGAGCGTAACGTGTCATCACGTGGTGTATTGTTGACGGAGAGAACGCTGCTCCAGCACTTCAAATATTGCAGTACCCATAAGGACATAGGCGGCGCGTGAGGCTCAGGTTTGGGAAGGCTAAATAACTTTTTTTTACCTGACGCTGCCCGCCTCCGGCGTCTAGAAAAGCGAAACTCAGTGAAAGCACCGCCTGCGGACCAATCAGAGCTCAGTGTGCGGAGTTTAAATCTATCAAGTCATATTACAGGATAAAGGAAATACAGTTTAAACTGCCGTATGCAGAGAAGACGCCGACGTGTCGCACTTATCATTCATATCACACTGATATCACATCATCAATCAGATCATCGATCAGATAATATCACAATATTTCCTTATCTGAGTCAGCTTCTCGAGCCGTATCTGGCCGTGCAACACTTACATTGTCACATATACTGTATGCAGATGTATTATTTTAAGCAACACATTAAGTTGACGAAACACTCAACTCAAATGTAATAAAGTCAGATCCACTCGTGTCTTAGAAGGGGCAGTATCATAAAACTGTTGTACACTTTCAAACACTTGGTAGTTATTTTTTAACCAGTTGTTCTATATTGTCCTTGCAGGTGCAACTATGTGGCTTGTATCCTGGATTATATGTTTAAGTCATGGATGTTTAAAGTTAATATTTGTCTAATATTAGTTTACTTTTCATTAATGAAGTATGATGTTGCGCTGTCAGTACACTTGTCCCTGTTTGTGATTGGTCAAATGTAGCTAACCCCGCCCCTTTCACGTGAACGCGCTCTCAGCTGGAGAGAGAAACCCTGGCTTGATTTACCGAGTTGATAACCAGCGTCGTAGGACCACCTAGCGAGATCTCGTTTGTTAGGGTTAGTTAAGATAACTCAAACATATCCACGGTATGTTGAACTGGCTTCGTAGTACAGGGCACAGGTGGCTGCATAGCAGCGCTAATGTCAAAGACACAAACATTATACATTATATTTTTATTTTACCAGGATGCAGTGACACAAATATTTCGGAAGGCTACCCCTAGTTTCCACCGGGTCCGTCTGTGGTGTGTTACGGCCGCGGCGTCCGCAAGGATCGCGGCCCCTCTAGTCAATGGGTGCTATTCCACCAGACGCGCCGCGTTACGGCTCAGAAGCGTCCCAGAAGCGTCTCGCCGCTGGGCTCCACTCGAAATAGGATTGAAGTCTATTTTTCGACGCGACGCAGCCGTAAGGTAATGTCGGGCAGGCAGGAAGTGGAACGTTCAGAGCATATAGCATATATATATACACACAAACTCATTTTGCAGACCCTATCCCTCCGTAGTCGTTCAAGTAGGAGGAGAAATGCCAGCGTTCTCCTCCGGTTTACAGGCACTGTGTAAATTATATAGAATAATTATGATGATTTTACCACTAAAATACAGCAACACATCTTTGATTCATGTCGTTTATAACTGGGATATTACAAATATTATTAACTTTGTCTGTACAAAGTAGCCTGTCCAGGAAATATGCTCAAATCAACTGAAACTGCGAGCTGGCAGGCAAGACGCTCCGCTTCTGAAATGCTTCTGCAACGCGCCCGGTAGTGTATGACGCCGGAGGAGGCCGGACCAAAACCGCGGCGCAGCCGTTACGCGACGCAGACGGACCCGGTGGAAACTAGGGGTTAGCCTTCCCTAGCATACAGTACACGCCGCCCCTGCATACGGAGCCGTACACACCGCAGTGTTTGCGTGGCTGTGTCTTTAGTTGTAAGCCCCGTGGCGATCTGTTGTTATTAGCATCTGGTTAGCTAGCTATGCTAACGAATATGAAGAGGTTTTTCTACAACCAGGTGGAAGATTGCTCTCTCCTTACAGACTGAGAGGCTCAAATAACCTCTGTTCAGTGAGGTTAAGGCACACCTTGATATGATCATTATAGTTATAAAAAAATAAGAGACTAAATGAAAAACAGGTATAAAATACTTTAAGACAGTAAAAAAAAAAGTTGTTAAAAATAACAAGAATAGAGTTTAAAAGGGGAGTGATTTGTAAAATATCCATAAAGAAAAAGAAATCTGCTTACTGTTCTGTTTCATATTGGTGTTGAGAGATGTATCCATAGATCTCTTCCTTTTGCTCTCAAAGTGCACCAGATTGATGCTTTTAACTTCAACATTTAAAAAAAATATCTTCCCGGGGGAGCATGCCCCCGGACCCCCCTAGATTAGGTTAGGTCCCCCCCCCCCCCCCCACTTAAATGATGTCCACATGGATAGTATACTAAATACATATGCACACATCTTGTGTCCATATATTTCTGTTTTGGTGGTCATGCCACAACCGTGCACATGCATGCATGCTCGTCATGGTGCGATATCTGGACTAAGAGGTTGCTTTTTCTTTGCACAGCATGAAAGAAAGGCCAAATGAATGGGCTGTGATTTTAGTATTTCTAAGCAGAGGTCAATAATTTGTATGGCCCTAGGAGCATGTTGAAAATGGCCCTTGAGAGGAAAAAGGTTCCCCACCCCTGCTGTAAATAATAATAATTAAAAAAAACCTTGATTTATAACTTAAAGATCAAATGCAAAGATTTTTTTATAATTGCCAATAAAATTGAAATCATATAGCTACAACACTATCTAAGATATTGCAGTATTAAAATCGGAGATAATATGCGTCTGGCAATGCGCAATATTTATTTTGTTCAACCCCCAACACCAAGTCCGACGATTTATTTCTCAGCCGCTCGTCTCCGTAAGATGGCGTCGCGTGACGTCAGAGTCGCCAAACATATTTCCACCTGGCTTATCGCTCACAGCTGCTTCCGCCGATAGTACAACTTAGTTTCGTTATCATGTCTGATTCTGAGTAGACTATAGACTAAAAGCTTTAGGAATCCAAACTATAACATAATAAGTACCCTGTATCAAGATTGATGCAAAACAAGTGAAATGTGACCTTTTTAGACAGGTTTAGAAAAATAAAGTTCAGGCGACCTCTGGGTAATTTGGGAACCATCAGTTCCATTTGAACTTTTTCACTGTAAAAATCATTTTATTACTTTGAATTATCACTATAGGTATTCATTCCATCCAAATACAACTGTTGTGAAAAGAAAAAAAAAACACACTGTTATCCTCTTAGCCCCACGGACCCAAAATTGCGTCATTTGCAGGAAACGACGTCTATGGAACCTTAATATTTAATAAACTATGAATATTTTATATCCATATAACGGGAAAAAAGTCATTTAACTGATCTTTTTCATTTATTTAAAAAAAAAAAACACAATGCTAACAGTGAGCCTCTGAATTAGCCCCGAGCGAAAAATGCTAGCCTATTACGGCACCGAAAATCACTCCTAGCTCCCTTATTACTTATCCTAGCTCCACATCCAACACATTGTTTATGATCGTAAAGACACAGAATCTAATGGTGCCCACCTCAACACTGAAAGATACAAACTCGCGAGGTTATCAACAAAAACGTACATCAAAACAAGTGGCGCTAGGTACTAACATGAGCTAGGCTTACCTTCCTCTTTGTCTGGTCTAAAATGGCATTCAAACGATAAAAACGATGATGTAGTTAATCCATAGGTTAATATCCAATGGGGCTGTGTCCCCTTTGAAATGTTCTGATAATCTATAAGCAATACAACTGCAATTCCGTTATCTGCTGTCCGCTCTGTGCTCCGTGCGCTTTGAAATCAAATGAAAATTTGTTTACCTCAATTCTTTGGCGTTTCTGCATTGCCCGGCTCTTTCGTTCTTTCGGTTGTTTTTTGTACTCAAATATGGAGGGGACGGCTCCGGGTTTCAGCCTCCGATGTACTTTAAATGCTTCTCCACCAACAGACTTGACGATGGCAGGATCAACATCGTATGCATCAGACGCGAAGTGGTCAGAGCACAACTTGCTCCATTTTGTCAGCTGCCAGCCAACACGATTCACTAAAATAATCCAGTTTCGACAGATGATTTTGTCTTGGGGAAATGAATGAAAAATTCTCCCAGATCCCGCACCGTTCGTACATCCGAAAGCACAACAATAACCCATGTTTTGCGTGATTTCGCGGATATAATTCAGAGTTTTCTGCACCAGTCATGAGCGAAAAACACCGCTGACATGTGAACAGCGCACGAGACTGCCGAGTCGGGATATTTGGCCCAGAGACTGTTTGGCCACAATGACGTCACGCGCGCGGAGGCTGCTGGGAATGACATGTCAGAAATTCAGACGGCTTTGGGTCGAGTTTTGTATCAATAAAAAGCTTTTTTTCGGGTGTATTATCTCGATTTAAATTAAATAAAAAATACAGGCAGTCTTAAAAACAACATTTCTATAAAAATGTAGCATATTTGGAAGCTTTGCATTTGACCTTTAACATCTCTGTCTCCTATTGATCTGAGTATATTATAAAGAATAGCCAGTTAATTGAAGCATTATAGCACAGGCCTTTGTCAGATGGTATATTAAGCTTTTTTTTTTCTCCTTCGAATAGTTATTTCTTTTTTTCTGCATCCCTGATACATAAACATGTGTCCCCTCTGTGTAAAGACATTCTGAAAGTTTCAGGAAAAAAGATTCTCTCTCTTTTTGTCCTGATCCATCTATATAAAAACCTGTCTGAAAAGGAGCTGATCAGATTTTGGCCACTTTATGATGTCATAGCGATTTTTTGGCTTGTGTAACCATTAGCCAATAACCAACCAAGGTAACCACCCCCACCCCCTTATTACCTGAATCTCCTCCGAGAGCACCTTTGTGTTCTTTTTAAACAAATCTCTCTCAGAGGGGCGTGGGGAGGGGCTCCTTATTTTCATCAAAAGTAACAGACAGAGAATCAGCTCTTTTGAAACAGGGCTGAAACAGAGGGGATTATGGGATGCTGCAATGATCTGTTTGGTATTTGGAGCCAAACACTTAAGAGACATGTTCTGTATATATCTGAGACCTATAACATATTGATGAAAACAGTACAATAGGGGACCTTTAAAGGGTAATTGAACGGTTTAAAAACTGTGCCTCTACGGCGTCTTTCTAACAGGTTGCCCATCTCTGTCACTTTTAGATGAGGCTCCGTGGGAATTGTAGTCTTTTATACTCTGTTGACTATAGACCTCACGATTAGGTGGCCTTTCTTATAAAAACCAAATAGTGGCTCTAACATGCTGTGTTGTTCAGGGCCGCTGGGGCAAAGTGCACAAAGGGCGGTGGCACGGAGAGGTGGCCATCCGGCTGCTGGAGATCGACGGGAACAACCAGGACCATCTGAAGCTCTTCAAGAAGGAGGTGATGAACTACAGACAGACCCGGCACGAGAACGTGGTCCTCTTCATGGGGGCCTGCATGGCCCCCCCCCACCTGGCCATCATCACGAGGTGAGAGCAGGAACATCGAACGCACCTCTAAGATGATTTTAACCCAAGAGCTTGGTATCAATATGGATTGATTCCAAGTCCAACGACCTAATATCATTGTTGCCTATCCTCATCTTTAAAACTCACTTTTATTTTGAACATGGGAGCATCTGTCTTAAAAGTGCACTTCCTTCCCTAAAAATGCTTACACATGAGATACTGTATGTGGCCTTTAATACTAGAGTTGATATAAATGCAACTGGTGTGTTTAATGTAAGTACTGTCTGATGCTGTCTGCAAGGTTGGGGGGGTTGTAAAAAAAAATGTAATCAGTAACCTAATCTGAGTATCAATTCAAAAAGTAATGTGACCTGAAAACTTTTGGATTACCTCAATATAAAATGCAAATAGATACAAGAGAAAATAAATATCTATAAGATGTTGAAATGTATTATGTAACAGAAAAATGTAACCCTAGAAAAGAAGAAACCAAGATATTTAGGATCAGAAATAATTGTATTTATAGGAAATCCTGCCTTTCATGAAGTACATTCAGGCAGTAGCCTACACCAACACTGAAACACATGAGCACGTACTACAGTTTAAAAAAGCAGAAATAAAATCTGAGCTGATAGAAAATGATCAGTTTTAGTTTACTACACAGTTAAGCTCACACACTACTAAAGGACCAAAGAAAGTGAAAACCATAAAGCACATTCAGGCAGTAGGAGTATATATTCACACTTAAAGTATTAGTCTACAGAACAGTACAGCTTACAGAGAAGAAATACAATCTGATCATTTTACAACAAACACGTTATGCTCTTTTTAGCTATTTAATTAGTATATTAGGGTAAATATTGTGATATAGGCAAATATTATATCATTGTCCAAATAACTGATCTAATATTGTATTGTGATTTTACCCCTACCAAATAAACGTTTCTTATTTTAAATTGAATATTTTCTTCTTCTTTTCCCACAGTTTCTGCAAAGGGAGAACACTGTATTCAGTTGTTCGAGACACTAAAAACACTTTGGATATTAATAAGACCAGACAAATTGCTCAGGAGATTGTAAAGGTAATGTTTCTTCTATATCTATTATCAGAACACATATTGATGCATTTGTAATAATTCAAGCACAACAAATGTCAAAGCCACATTTGATGTCCACAAGCAGCTATATATTTTCATTCTAAGAAACAGGAAATCCGTATATAAAGCCAAATATGTTAAATTGCCGATTGATGTATGGTTTATGTTTCATTTTAAAAGAGCAAGTTGTCGGCATTAAAAAGCCATTCCGCAGAAAAATAGGACTATAATAATTTATAACGGTCGTTTGTCTTCCAACGCAGGGAATGGGCTATCTGCACGCTAAAGGCATTGTTCACAAAGACTTGAAGTCGAAGAACGTTTTTCATGACACCAATAAAGTCATAATCACTGACTTCGGGCTGTTTGGGATCTCTGGAGTGGTTCAGGAGGGGAGGTAAGAAACTCTAGAGGCCTTAAAAACACAAAGTGACACAGAGAGCTCTTGCCATTACCTGGAGAGATGCAGTGATTTGTAATGATTCCTGAGTCCTGCAGGCAGTTCACTTGAAAGCTACTCTTTTTCTCTTGATTGTAAAATTGGAGAAGAAAAGAAACACTCCCTTTGCTTCATGAATAGCTTTTGTACACAGGAATTGGAGGTGGACTACATTTAGTTAATGTATTTTCCACCCTAGTTAATGATCAGATTTTCCACTCCATTTGATTTGTTTCTGACAAATGTGTACCCATTTTCCCCCCGTTTTTTTTCCAGGCGTGAGAACAAACTCAAACTTCCACATGGCTGGATTTGTTACCTCGCCCCGGAGATTGTGCGCAGGATGAGCCCGGGTAACAACGAGGACCAACTTCCTTTTTCCACCTCGGCAGATGTGTACGCCTTTGGGTGAGTTCTGCACACTCCTGTCACACCTGCGTCTGTCTGAGAGCTTACGGGACAGATGAATCATTCTTCTTCATTTCCCCCCTCCCTCCTTTCAGCACCATTTGGTACGAGCTTCAAGCAAGGGACTGGCCAATCACCAACCAGCATGTGGAAGCTACCATCTGGCAGGTGGGCAGCGGAGAGGGCATTAAGAAGGTCCTGGCGGAAATTAGCTTCGGCAAGGAGGTCTCTGTGAGTACAAACACAAACTGTGACACTGAGACAGGTTCATGATTATTCTGCTTATATCAGTCTCTGCTCTGGTGATACAGAAAGATGTGGATGTTGTAAAAACGTTTAAGATCATCATCATCTGTTTTTGGAAGGGGATTCCTTTTAAATTTGGCAAAATGTTCAACTTAAACAGATAACATTTTCAAAGGTCAAAGTCACGGTGACCGGTCACAAAACACGTAATAACTCAATCATTCATTCTCTTATTGCAAACACAATTCACACACATGTCTAATAGGTTCAAATGATCAAGTGATGACATTTTAAACAGACATGGATATATGTAATTCAAATTGACTGGTCCGAGGCATACAACCATTAGGTGGAAATTCTACTTTTTTAAATGTATTTTATTTTTTAAATTGGTGCAAAACAAAACCGTACCAACTTTACATTGAAAATAATAATGGGAGAAGTCACTTCAATGTGTAAAAAGGAAAGAAAAAAGGGGTAATATATACATTTTTGTTATAGAAGCATCTTAACACATGCATTTAAACGTCAATCAATGTATCATCACTTATGATCTAGTATGAATCAACCTAACATTATAATTTACCAAGGCTTGCCCACATATTGTCTCTGACCCCACCCATGTCCTAAATAGTTCATATGACTTATTGCCATCAAATCGGAGATACAGGGTCCCACGATTTAATCAAGTTAGACTGAAGCACTCTATTGTTCACCAGTACCTTATCTTAACATGTTGTTTTTAGTGATTGTAATGTTCCGTTATAGATCTGTTTCTGGGTTTCCAGTCTAATAATTTGTCCTTGTTGACGTTGCATATAAGGTTTCTATCTGAATGTCAGACTTGGTCTGAAAATAAAGTATCATGGTATCATATGGTATGGTCCAGAGCCACAGAGTGTGTGTGTCCTTCAGCGGGGGCATCTTCTCAAAGTGTTCTGTGTCTCAGGAGATCCTGTCTGCCTGCTGGGCGTACGACCTGAGGGACCGCCCCCCCTTCACCCAGCTGGCCGACATGCTGGAGAAGCTGCCCAAACTCAACCGCCGGCTCTCACACCCCGGACACTTCTGGAAGTCTGCAGAGTACGTATCCAACAATTAAGGACGATGAGAAGAGACTAGAAGTGTGAAACCAGAAAATATATCTCACATATTCGTATATCTTCTGTTTGCTTGTGGTACATCGGCTCCTCAGTGATGAGCTTTAGGGTTAACGGTTAGGGCAGGGGTCTGCAACCTTTTTGACCAAAAGAGCCATTTTGCTCCTTTTTCCAAAACATTTTTTTGTCTGGAGCCGCAAAACGTATTTCATAGTTTTTTATTGTTATATCAGACAAAAACTACAGTTTTTTTGCATTTATTAGGCTATTTATTACATGATATAAAACTGTTAACCTCTAATAAGAAACAAAGAACTCTTATAAGGAGAATTACAAATAATACACAGGCCTACTTTAAAATAAATTAAACACAGCACTTGGGGAATCCTCTGCACATTTGAAGGGAAAACAATATTATTAAAATGGGCCCACTTTGAAATAAATAAAACATATAGCTGCACCCTAAAAAGAGTTAAAGGTAGGGTAGGTAAGAATGGAGAAACCAGCTCGAGTGCGCTAGAATTTGAAAATACACAACCGGAAAAAATATGCCTCTTCCTTCAGACTTTCTTACAGAGTCCCTCCTCCAGCACACACGAACGCGCACATGACCAATGAGGGCACGAGATGAGTTTGTGCCAAGATGGAAGGCTGACAGGCAGGTAGGCCATCCAGTTACATCCAGCTCATCACTGAGCCGGCTCAGATGATTGGTCGTGCTTTTTACAGCGCTACGGCTTCCAGAGATACATTTTTGTATGTATTTATTGTCAAAGCATTTAATATATTCATTGCTATCAGGACATTAAGAGCATTCCATGGAATATAACAAGTGTTTTCTGAACAAATTACATACCCCATTGAATTATGACTGAAGATCGTCAGCTGTCTTCCTCTCCCTTGTTGTTCCTCGATACGTAAAGGCTGCAGCACCTTTAACAACTTCTCTCTACATATCAAACATACCGGTAAACCAGCATCGCTTTCTGTGAAAGCAGATAACTCTATCCACACAGAATTAAATCCTGTGTTCCTCCGGTACTTTTCTTTGATTTATCCATAGTTCGCTCATCGAGCCGGGGGTCAGGTTATTCGCCTCCAAGAAAAGGCGCTCGCGCGGGACCGTAGCAGGATGTGACGCATATTTTAGTTGACCTTTTTGTTTTTTATTTATGTGTCACAGTATCACCTCAAAATACAAGATACGAAACATTTTCAACCATGCAACAAAATATAAATAGTCCTACAAATACTTTTATTTTATTTCCTTCTTATTTTTGTCTAAGCTCAAGGGAGCCAGAGCAGAGGGCTTAAAGGGCCGCATGCGGCTCGTGGGCCGCGGGTTGCCGACCCCTGGGTTAGGGTTACACAGTCTTATTTGGTAAATAACATCAGTTACATAGGTTTGAAATAATTTATAATTCCTTTTTAACCTCGCTCTCTAATGGAATGTGAACATTGTGGTTTAAATATGTCAATGTGAATTGTAAAGTTTGATTTATTCACTGTCACACAAGACTCCTGATTATTGTCACTTGAGGGAAAAGTGTTGTATTATTATTTCTCACATGTTGTCATCATATGTGTGTGTTAATCCTGTAATTTGCTGCACCAGCTATTTCACTTTAATGTACGCATTCATTTACAACTTTACATCATGTTTCCCACTGGTTTTCCACTTCTTATTTATGATTTGATTTCTCACAAACCGCTAATCATTTTCTACTTCGAGTCTACCATTTTCAAAACATTTTTAAAACCAGCAGTCAAGGCTTCACTATCAATCCTAGTTAAATGTCAGTTTTGATTAGCTGTATGATGGGAGAAATACAAGCTTGTTTTCTTTGCGATGTGAAAATAAATATAGCTTTTCATGCACTGGTCAATATTGGGTTATTGTAGTTGCATAACGTATTCTTTTGTGGAAAGAAAACATCCAAAAACACATTTTTATGGAAATATTTTGACTCTAAGATGTTAGTCAAATGAAACCAGCTTTTTGAACATCTTGTGATTATATTTCTGTTCTGGAAAAGCATGAAAATGTGAACATATAAACATATAAACACAAGATAATAGGTCATTTCAATATTTAAAACTTCAGTAAACTTGAATGTAAAAATGTTATTTACTGGTAGTGTCCCCTTAAGAGAAATACAAACTACTTAACTTAAATCTTCATAAAATGATGAAGTGAATCTTTAAAAAACTGTAACAGCTAGCTTTTCACGAAGTATAATCCCTTAACTAATCTGTGTATGTAATATCCTGCTGCTTTACAATGATGCTTTCTGCACTGTATCACTTTCACTAACCGTCTAACGTTGTGTTTCCCTTTGCTCTTTTCTCTCTTTTATTATTTTATTCTCTCTCTTTTAATTTTTTTATTTCTCTTTTCTTCTCCAGGTTGTAGCAGTCACCCTGAAACATAAGCAATGCAAAACAAAGCCTGGGTCTGCCTTGCATGCTCCTGTATCCTTAACTCTTACAGGATTGATTAAAGCATTGCCTGAAAACAGACTCCGCTTTCCACTAACCCGCAGTCTGATCTTCCATGTCTAACCGTTTTTTTCTCGTCGGGGGGGAAGAGAGGACCGGTGGAGCGAGGTGTGGTGGACGGGGGAGGGGGGGGGGACAGCTGTTGTCCTTCACGCTTTCCCTCCCCCCTTCTTTCGTCTAATATCTCTTTGTTCTATGATGTTGTTCCGGGACTCTGAATAACTGGCTTGTGGTGTCTGTGCTGACTGACTGCTGTGCCTGCTCACCTTCTCTGTGCTGCTGTGATGTGGTTGTTCTCACATGGCCTCCTTTTACCCTCTGAAACACACACACACACACACACACACACGCACGCAAAATTAAAAGGAGCCTACTATAAAATGGACCACTTAATTTATCAGTGTTTCCCCCCCTCGAGGGGTTTACACGTGCAGGCTGAGTGATGTTCTCAAAGCCTCTCTATCTCACTTTTTATTGGTTGTGCTGAGACCGTCACCAGCCAATGAGGACATAACCACAATACGCACTTTGTCAACAGGAGCAAAAAATAACTCTTTTTGTTGTTTTGTTCGGTTTGGAATAATCATATTTGCAGTGTTTTCTTTGGTAACACTTTTTACTGTGCCACTTCTACGATGCATTATAAACATACTTCCAATTTGTTACAAGCTGCTTAAATCACTGTTTAATTATAGTTTTAAGCACTTGTAGATTTCCGTAATGCTTTATAACAATAGTATTAACATGTAAAGCATTTTTTAATGACTTAGAAGGTCATGTATCAGCAATACGTTACATAATTGTTTCTCGCTGATTGTGTTTTTGTACCAGTGTATTATATCTATTATACTTTGTAATACATTTAAAAAATGTTATAAGGAATATTAATCTTTTTATAATGCATTATAATTGTTGATAATGCATTAGAATGTGATTTTGATTTTTTTTATTTGATCAGATTTATTTAGAATGTGTAAAACAATAATACAAAAATGTAACATGAGAATTATTATACAATACAAAAAATAAGCAGTGTCAAATTGATATACAAAAATATTACTCTACTTAATTACACATCTGAAAAGGGGTGGGAAGAAGTTTACACTTATTTAATCCCACCCCTTCTCCCAAAAACTAAATTATTAAGATCTATAGATATGGTCATTATTATTTTTTAAATTGACAAACATCATATGTGTAATTCGTGGCACAATTCAAACGGGATCGAAAGATAATCTTTCTCTCTCCATTGACTTCAATACATACTTTTTCCGAAATAAGATCCCATGGAGCTCCCCCGGAAAGGGAGGGACTTCACCTCTCTAGGCAAGGCAAGGCACGTTTATTTATATAGCACCTTTCAACACAAGGCAATTCAAAGTGCTTTACAAAAAACGAAAGACATTAAGAAAATGGCATTTAAAATCAGTCATTAAATCAAATCAAGTTTTATTTATATAGCACATTTATAAACGATTTTTGGTCGAGCCAAAGTGCTGTACATATAATAAAAGTAGCCTACAGTAGAGACACTTTACAGCAAATACAACAGCACAGATTGTTCAGAATATCAGTATGAGAAAAATGACACCCTCTATCCTTAGAAGAAAAGATAATAAAATAAACATTAAAAAGAAAAAAATAATAATTAAAAGAAAAAAATACATGGATAAAAGTTACAGTGCAGTCTAAGATGTGAATAGTTCAATTAAAAGCAGCGGCAAAAAGAAAAGTCTTTAGTCTGGATTTAAAAGTAGTCAGAGTTGCAGCGGACCTGCAGGTTTCTGGGAGTTTGTTCCAGATATTTGGAGCATAATAACTAAATGCTGTTTTTCCATGTTTAGTTCTGACTCTGGGGACAGAAAGCTGACCAGTCCCTGAAGACCTGAGAGATCTGGATGGTTCATAATTTAGCAGGAGGTCAGAAATGTATTTTGGGCCTAAACCATTCAAAGCTTTATAAACCAGCAGCAGTATTTTTGAAATATATTCTTTGACACACAGGAAGCCTAGATATATTCTTTAGGTGATAGTAGGCTGATTTAGTAACTGTTTTAATGTGACTGTTGAAACTCAGGTCAGAGTCCATGACTACACCTAGATTTCTGGCTTTATCTGTTGTTTTGAACATTGCAGACTGAAGCTCAGCGCTAACTTTTATACGTTCTGACTTGGCTCCAAAAACCATTACCTCAGTTTTATCTGTTTAATTGGAGAAAGTTCTGACACATCCAGTCATTGATTTGTTCAATGCACTTACTCAGTGTTTGAATTGGAGCACCTGGTGAAATTGTTACGTACATTTGTGTGTCATCTGCATAGCTATGGTAACTTATTTTGTTGTTTTTCATTATCTGAGCCAGTGGTAGCATGTAGATGTTAAAGAGAAGAGGCCCCAAGATGGAGCCTTGAGGTACCCCACATGTCATATTTGTCAACTCAGATGTGTATTTACCTATAGAAACAAAGTTGTTTCTGTCCTTTAAGTAGGATTCAAACCAATTCAGAACTGTTTCCGAAAGTCCCACCCAGTTTTCCAGTCGGTCTAATAATATGCTGTGGTCAACAGTGTCAAACGCAGCACTGAGATCTAATAATACTAACACTGAAGTTCTGCCACTGTCTGTGTTTAAGTGGATGTCATTGAAGACCTTTACAAGAGCAGTCTCAGTGCTGTGATTTGGACGAAAGCCTGACTGGAACACATCAAAACAGCTATTTAAATGCAAGAAATTACTCAACTGTTGAAAAACAACTTTTTCAATGATTTTACCTAGAAATGGGAGGTTTGATATGGGCCTGTAATTGTTCATTACTGAAGCATCTAGATTATTCTTTTTTAAGAGCGGTTTAATGACTGCAGTTTTCAGGGCCTGTGGAAAAATACCTGAGTGAAGAGATTTGTTTACTATATGAAGTAGATCTGAGGCCATGCAACGAAAAACATCTTTGAAAAATCCTGTTGGAATAATATCAAGGCAGCAGGAGGAGGATTTCAGAAGTTGAATAATGTCCTCTAGGTTTTTATCATTAATCTGATGGAATTGTGTCATGGTTTTGAATTGATATTAGGTGGACATAGGGACAACACATTTGCTGTTCCTGATGCAGAGGCACTGACTGCTTGTCTAATTTTCTGAATTTTGTCAGTGAAGGAGACAAAATCATTGCATGCCCTGGTGGATAGAAATTCAGAGGCTACTGACAGTTAGTCTGTCAACGGTAGCAAACAAGGCACGTGCATTGTTTTTGTTTTTGGTAATGATGTCAGAGAAGAAAGACTGTTGTGCGTTTTTTAATTCCAAATTATAAAGGCCAAGTCTCTCTTTATAGATTTCAAAGTGAACCTGGAGATTTGTTTTTCGCCACCTACGTTCAGCTTTTCGACACTCTTTTTTCTGCTCACACGGTCATGGCCTTTCTCCATGGAGATATTTTCTTCCCAGTCACTTCCTTTACCTTAGTTGGAGCAATGGCATCTATAACATTTTGAATTTTTGAATTAAAATGATCTACTAGCTCATTTACTGAGATGTTAGCAGGGGCAAGTGTGGAAGAAAAATTCTGAGTAAAAATGTCCCTAGTATTTTCAGTTAAATATCGCTTTGTGGTTATCTCTATAACCTTTAACAAGATGTTGTGACAATCAGGCTTGTTGTTTCTCTGTAGTTTTGCTGTCAGGCAAACAAACAACCGAACCCAGCTGGAAACATAATCTAAAATGTCCAAGTGACCAGAAATTATTAATTATTATGAAACTTGACCTTAGAAGTCATTATGAAATGTTTTATTTTAAGTGATATTTGTTGTTAAAAATAATGTTTTTGTATATTTATGAACTTATAACTATGTGTATATAGTGGTATAAGCAGTTTTTAAGGTATTACAAGTATGTTTATAATGCATTAAGGACATGGGCATCATGAAAAGTGCTTCCTTTTCTTTTTTTATCTTCAAAAGGGTCTCAGAGAGTTGGACAGTGTGATATGCTCACTTGTATGTTGTCATTTTTGGAGTATAACCTGGTAAATTCACTGTTATTTGGATGCATTTGAAAACGGGGCACTGATGAGGAATTCTGTTTCCGGAAATGAAAAGACACAAGGGAAATATTCCTTTCATAATTCCTAATCCACATGGGAATAGAATAATGCTGGCTTTTTGTGATAAATGACTTTTTTATTAATATCATCCATTGAAGTGTAAAGTGCACCTTATACAAATATGACTTAAGAAAGATCCTTCTTCAAGAAGTTGAGTGATTTCATTCTCTGCGCAAAAAGGGAAAAATGAATCAGGAACCTGGCGCTGAAGTGTCCTATTATCTTCCCAGAACATGCCTCTTGTGCGCGTTTGTGTATGCTCTTTGTGATTGCAGGCTTCAGGTCGCGTGCTGGAATTTATTTGGTGTGTGTGTCTCTGTGTGTGCGTGCAAGTGTGACTAAGGTGAGCTTATTGTGTTGAATTCCGTAGGGGTGATTTTGTGGAAGACTGCATTAAATGTTGTGTTGCAAATCCAATGGTATGTAATGTAAATACATTATTTAATGTACAGCAAATGAACATGTTTCTTCTAATATTTGTAAAAACATTTTATATGTAAAATACATCACAATGTTTTGGAATAGGTACTGCTATGGCTACTACAGATGTAAATATATTTATATTTTTTTCATGTATATAATACTGTTTAAAAGCTGTACATTTTTTTTAGAATGGGCCTACATGTTTTTTTATGTTATTGTAAAAATTCATATTTTTGTATTGCATGTGACTACCATTCTGTACACACAGTTTCTGTTTTCATCCAATAAAGACAATAAAATGAGGCTTGTCATGTAACAATACAGTGGACTTTGTTTTTATTTTACTCAAATACAATGTATTCAATTTGATTATTTTCAAATTATACTGTATAATTGACAGATCCTAAAACTAACTTTAGTTTTCTAGGCTTACTTTAAAAAATGAGATGACTAAATACATTACATTGTTAGATTTTACATATATGTACTTGGTGTTTACAGCGTATACAGATTAATTATACAAAGTAATCCTTAGCTTGTACTGAGATCTCACTCAGGAAACGCATATGATTGAAAAATATGCCATAAAATATGATACTGATTGGTGAGTTGATGTTCCAACAAACAGGGTTTATAGGATAAAAGACAAACCAGGAAAGTGATGGCATTTTTTTAATCTCATTACCCAGTATTGGAAAAGTCATGGAATAAGTGCAAATGCTTGAAAGCTTTGAAAATGTCACAGCATTTTGTCAGGAAATACATTCTCACAGTAATCTTCTTCACCTTCAAACTGTGACATAATACAGCTTTAATATGTGTCGATCACCACATAGGATTCTTCATTTTCTCCCTTCTCCTTTCATACATTTGAGCTAGCTGAAACTATATTTGTATAGATTCTAAAAATGATATGTTTGGATAATGCCATGCATTTTAACATTACTTTTGTATTATGTATGCTATTGTTACCACATTTTGAAGTCTTGAGAACTGAGTAAAGAAAAAATGTACTCAAACAATTGGTTCTATTTTCCCTTGTGCATGAAAGCCATTGCCAGACTGATATAAGTGTTGTAAAGCTGTTTTAGGTATATTTGCTATGCCTGTATATGAAGTGAACATGAACATAACAACATATTGGAATAGGTTTCTGTATAGTTTTTATATCATAATTAACATTTAGAGTAACGTATATGGTCCTGTTTGTGTTCTTTTAGGTTGTGAGTGGAGGATCTGTGAAAATAGAATGTCAGAGTTGTTAGACTAGGACAGAGATGAACATATGGATTCAAAGCATACCTCATTTACAATAATTAAACATTTAAAAAAACAATCATTTGGGCATTTTAGAAAGATCATTAGTGTTGTGTATTGTAGGCGAGTGAAAGTAGGCTGGTTGTTGTCTTGGGAGAATGAAAAGCCTCCACTCAGAATGTGTAGGAAGAAGAGCATGTGTAATATGAGCACACCCGGTGGGTGTTATCTCCCCGATGGTCCTGCAAGAAAGCAAGGATTGTCTAACTTCTCTTTCAATTTGTAATTTTGCTTAACCTTGGAGCTCATTTGAGTATCTTATAGAAGCTTTTATCATCTGTGTCATGTTCAAAATCCCAGTTGGCCTCTAGGTGGCATAAAGACCCAACATAAATCAATTG